CAGCTGGTGAGCTTGAACTGCCGACCTTGAGTTTCAGACCGACTTTGCGGTCCAGTGCATTAACCCACAGCGCCACACTAGGACTCCTTGCTAAGAGTCGAAACTGACTGGACACATGTTGTTGTTGTTGTTTTTAAGTGCCGTCGAGTCGATTCCAACCCATAGTGACCCTGTATAGGGTTTCCAAGGAGCAGCTGGTGAGCTTGAACTACTAACCTTGCAGTTCAAATGACTTTGCAGTCTGATGCACTAAACCCACAGCGCCACACCAGGAGTCCTAAAAACATATAGGTACACCAAATGTGTAGACCCCTACACACACATTCCCCTTGGTGATCATTCACTCTCTTTAACCAATGTTTTCCAAATGATTAGAAATAAATATTAAGTTAAGCATAATAGAATCCCATTTAAGGATTTGAGATTTACATGTAAATTGCAGCCAAAAGCAGGTCAATTCTCATCATCACAAACTATAAGCTGTACAGAGTGTTTTGCAGCACTGGAATTTTAGTGTTTTAAATATTGCTAAAGTATCCTTTTGTTGTTGTTAAGTGTCACCGAGTTGGTGCCAACTCATAACAACCCTGCATAGGGTTTCCTAAGAGTAGCTGATGGATTTGAACCACTGACCTTGCAGTTCAAAACGACTTTTTGGTCCAGTGCTTTATACTACAGTGCCACACCAGGACTACCTATTAATTAGAAAGACCACATTTACAAAGGTATGTTGTCATTATTGCTGTTGTTAAGTGCCATGGGGTCAGTTCTACTCAAAGCGACTATTTACAGGGTTTCCAAGAAGCAGGTGGTGGGTTTGAACTGCCAACCTTGTGGTTAGGTTAGCAGTCAATGCTTATAATACAGCATCACACCAGGACCCTATCAGTTAGACTAGAAAGTTTGAATCATTTCAGAAGTATATAGAATGTACTTAATTGTTTGGCATAAATAATTAGTGTGCCAGAACTTATAGAATTGCACGGTAAATGTACTGTGTTATTAAGTGCCATCAAATCAATTCCAACTCATAGCAACCTTGTATAAGACTTCCAATGAGTGGCTGGTGAGTTTGAATCATTGACCTTGTGGCTCAAACCAATCTTGCAGTCCAGTGCTTATTCTACAGCACCACATCAGAACTACTTACAAATGTATGCTGTTGTTGTTGTTGTTGTTGTTGTTGTTAAGTGCCGTGGAGTCGGTTCCGACTCATAGCGACCCTGCACAAGGTTTCCAAGGCTGTAAATCTTTACAGGAGCAGAACGCCTCATCTTTCTCCCGCAGCACCGCTGGTAGTTTTGAACTGCTGACCTTGCGGTTCACAGCCCGAATCGTAACCACTACGCTACCAAATGTATAGTCATTATAAAAAATTATATTAAGGGTCTAAAGAGAATGCTCTTAATGCCAAGTACAACATGCATGCTACTGTTAAGTAAAGCAGTATTAATGTTTGTGACAGTTTTGATTTTCTTCTAATTTAGCGGTTTTAATAAAAGTTCTTGTTTTGTGTTGCTTTATTCAAAGTTATTCACACATACACACTTCCACTCAAAAGGAGGCAGATCTGAGAGTCACTGCCTTTAAAACAATCCCAATGTCTACTGTGTAGATGTGAGAATTCAATTTACGCTTAATTTTGAAACTGAAACATGATTAGTAATTTTATAATATAGTCTACCGCAGATTAAAGTGAATGAAATTCAGCAATTAAAATATATAAAAACTGAATTTTAAGATGGACCTTTAATTAAAAGGTATTTTTGTATTTAAATAATCTAAAATACGCTTTTGTGTAAATAATTCTATAAAATGTAACTGTTGTTGTTGTTAAGGGCTGTCGAGTCGGTCCCGGCCCATAGCAATCCTGTATAGGTTTTCCAAGGAGTGGCTGGTAAGTTTGAACAACTGACCTTGTGGTTCAAACCGACTTTGCAGTCCAGTGCATTAGCCCACAGCGCCACTCTGGTAGTGTAGTGGTTACGAATTGGGCTGCCGAACCTCAGGTCAGCAGTTTGAAACTACCAGCTGTTCCACAGCAAAAAGATAAGCCTTTCTGTTCCTATAAAGATTTACAGCCTCGGAAATCCTGTACAGGGTCGCTATGAGTCGGAACAGACTCCATGGCACATCAAAATACAATTATAGCTTGTGATATTTAAGCATTCATCACAAGATAAGGATTGTAACTTCTATTGCATATCGTCATGTTTAAAGTAATATGTTTATTCCTTTACCCTTTAGAGAATAATTAGATCTCCCGTTTTACCATTCCTTTACCCTTTAGAGAATAATTAGATCTCCCGTTTTACCATTTTTTTATATAGAACAGAACCCAGTCTACAAAAGATGTCAGTATTCAATCAATGTATCCTCACTAAATATCAAAAAGGTCCACTTTTAGCAGCAATAGTTTCTTCTACAACTAAAAAAAGAATGTCCTTTCTTCTCTGGACTACTTAATTCTATACTGATAAATCTTTAGAAAACTAAATAAAAACACACAAAAATATACCACTAATTCCAATCCAGGAACAAACAGAAATTTGAAGATTTAACTAGTTTCCCAATCAATATTTTAAGCTTTTCATTTTTCAACTGGTTAAATTGTTCTAGAAAAGAAATTCACCCCACATTCCGGTAACAAAATGTTGGAAAGACAAAGACCTCAAAGTATCTAAACCTAGTGTTCAGGAGAAGAAAACATTTCATAGACCATCTCTGATGTACTTTTTAAAAAATCTCTAATGAATCTGTTGCATAAAGTACTCATGTTTCAAATACGTTACTAGATAAATAAGTAAAATTACCTTTCAATGAAACACTAACAAAGTAGCATAATTAATCTAAATCAAAACTAGTAACTTTGTTCTTAAGAAGTTAAACTTTCCTCTCTAAAGTATAAACTATGTCCAATATAAGTCAAAGAAGACACATTGGAAGAAAAAACTGAGTGAACTAAATTGTTTCTCACAAATGATGAGTGTTATTAATAACTCAAGTTTTAAAAATACATTATTTCTATTTAAAATAAGAAAACCAAACTCACCGCCATCAAGTGCATTCCAATGCACAGCAATCCTACAGGGCCCTGTAGATGTGCCCTAGAGGGTTTCCAAGGCTATAAATCTGGATGGAAGCAGACTGCCACAGCTTCAGTCTGGGGAGCAGTTAGCAGGTCAACCAGCTGACCTTTTGGTTAGCAGCCCAGTGCCTTACCCACGGTGCCAACAGGAATCCATATTATTTCTACAGATGTGCTAAATTAGTCATGATTGCCGATTGCTAGGCAGAACTCAGTTGAGAAAGAGACCAACAAAAAATGGTAAATGAAAGAATGGTGAAAAAGAAAAATCCCACCAGAATAACAATTTTTGGAAATCTGTCCTTGTTTTGATTCAAACACAATGAGATGAGAAGCTGCTACTATAAGCCTCTAAACTAAAAACTCTGGCAAGAGGGAAGGAAATTGAACTCCCATAGACTTCAAAATACCGACCCAAAATATGCTTTAACTTTTCCCTCATCCACAATCTAACAAAATGCAAAGACAATAAAAATAAATGCCCCTGTAGGAATCTACCCTGATAGGCAAAGAAAGCTCCCATTCAACACTAAATCTGATTCCACTGGAAAACATACTCCTGAAAAGTAAATCCAAAACCATGAGCTCAAACTACTTCATGCAGCATTTACTGAACGCCTGCCAACTGCTGTACACACTGTTCTGAACCACACTGAAGGCTATCTAGAGTTCTGCATTCTCCACTTACAACTTGTACCTTACTGGGCTTTCACCACCACTGCAGAAACGGATTTTTGAAATAAAAATAAAATGTTCCTCCCAGCTTGTTACTCAAAAAGGCGATCTGCTCCCTGACCTTCATACTGTTTGTTTTCAACGCTGGTTTTGACTCATATCACAAACACATCTTTAGATGATCAATAAATCTACGTAGAAGCCATTAAGACTAGGACTGAATAGAATAAGGAACCCTAAAACAACTTTTCACTGACTTTCATCTGACATTGTTTCTAGATACCTACTTACATTGTTACTAGATACCACTCATACCTATGGGATAGGGTAGAACTACCCCTATTGTTTTCTAGCCTGTTATCCTTACGGTGCAGATCGCCAGGTCTTTCTCGCGCAGAGCCGCTGGGTGAGTTGGAATCGCCAACCTTGAGTTAGCAGCCCAGCGCTTAACAGAATCACTTATTTTACAAGAGCGCTGCACTGGCCCCCTTCAACAACTGGCCCTTGAACAAGGATGCTGTCTCCAGTCACTGCTCCCGGGGTGGCAGGTGAAGGCGCTGTACGCCCATGTACACACGCCGGGAGAGCATGAACCGAAAGCGGAGAGATGGGGGGGCAGCTGTGGGGACACTCCGTTATCCTCACCCTCCACGGGTCCCACCAGGTGAAGAAGTTTCGATCGTGCCCGCCGATCGTCCCGGCGCATTGCTCAAGCCCGGCTCCACGTCTCCCGCCGCCCCGGGCCCAGGCAGGCGAAGTTTCTCTCTCGCTGGCGGCGGCTGCTACTCACGCTTCTCCCGGCTCTGCTAGGGTCCCGCCGCCTCCTCCGGGCCTCTGGCCAGCCCGGGATCGCCTACAGGAGCGGGATCCGGGACCTGTCAGCCCGGGCAGGAAACAAAAGCCGGGTGAGGACGAGCGGGCGCGACCTGCCTCGCTGCGCGCGGGGGCGCACGGCAGGGGCGGAGAGCGGGGACTGCGTCCGACGAGCGCGCCTCGCGAAGGGAGCACCAGCCCTACGGTCCGCGGGGGAGCGGGCCGGGCCGCGCGGACAGGGCTACGCAGGATGCTGGGCGCTCGGGTGCCCTCTCTTCGAGGCTCTCCCAGCCCTACTCGAACCCCGGGCTGGGGACCCGCGTGAGGGGGCGGGGAGGCGGCGCGACCGCGGCGGGATGGAGAAGGAGGGAATTCGGCTCCCGGGGCGCCGCCCGCCCCATCCCTATGGCCGTAGCGCCGGTACCTGTCGCCGCGGTGGCTCCCCGACTCCTAGTCTCTCCGCCTCGCCCGCGCGCCGCTCGATTCTCAACCCGCCCAGCAGGCCTCTTGCCCGCGCGCCGGACGCCACCGCCCGAGACTGGCAGCGCCCGCGAGCCGGCCCCAATTCCCCGGGCAGCGCCCGGTGCCGTCCCGCCCCCGCCGGCCGCAGGACCGGCCTTCCATAGGGTCCCGGGGCTGTCAGTCCGCCCCCAAAAGGCGCGCGGGCTGTCGCCCTGCGTGTCCGGATTGGTGGCTGCGTGCCGTTTATGCAAATAATACCCCGCCCCCGTTCATTTGCATCTCCGCCTTAATGTAACCTACCCCTCCCCTCACCAGCCCACGTGTCTGGTTCTGGCCTTTTGTGGGGGTCGGAGAGACTGTGTGGAGGAAGCTGACCAACACCCCACACACACGCACACAGTCCTTCACCTCCAGAGAAACTAATGCCTAAACAAGCTAGTTGACTTAATATCCGTATCGCCTATCTGAAAGCCTTTTTATCTGAGATTGGGGCAGGGCAGGGCAGGCCAAGTCAGTCCCAGGAAATGACCCCAAGAAGTCAAAGATCTCCAGCCAAACTGGAGAAAACCCACCTCAAGAACCAATTTTGCACACAATACCTCCTCCAGTAACTGTGGAAACTCTGTTTCAAGACCTACCCCACCTCCACCCCTACAAGTAAATAGCCTTGCCTCAGTTGTTGTTATGTGCTGGGATAGTGACCCTGTACAAGGTCCCTAGGCTGTAAATCTTTACTGGAGAAGAAAGCCTCATCTTTCTCCCACGGAATAGCTGGTAGTTTCGAACTGCTAACCTTGCGAACCGTTCACAGCCCGATTCGTAACCACTATGCTACCAGAGCTCCTTATGTTACTCCCATAAAATTGGGATCTGCTCTTAGACCTTAGGAACTATCCAAAGCCTCATAGCTAGTTGTAGAAAACCAAACCCACTGCCATCAATTCCAACTCGTAGCTACAGATTGTTAAGCATTGTCAAGTCAGTCCTGACTTCCCATTACCCTGAATGGGGCTTCTGAGGAGCGGCTAGTGGGTTTGAACCACAGAACTTGCAGCTGCTAACCAAAAGATCAGTAGTTTAAACACACCAATCATTTTCTTGGAAGAAAAATACAGTAGTCTGCTTCCATAAAGATGAAAGTCCAGAAAACCCTACTGGGGCAGCTGCCCCATCAGGCCTCCTTGGTCACCTATAATGAAAACCAAACAAACGCACTATCACTAAGTTGATTCCCAATTGCCATCAAGTGGATTCCAACTCACAGTGAGGCTTATAGGACTGAGTAGAACTGTAAATCTTTACCATGCAGTTATAGCAACCCGATGTTTAACCCACAACTTTACCAAAGGTCCTCAGTATTATAGTTGTTGTTGTTATGTGCCATGGAGTCGGTTCCGACTCATAGTGACCCTATACAGGATTTCCAAGGCTGTAAATCTTTATGGGACCAGAACAGGTGGTAGTTTCGAACTGCTGATGGTTAGGTTTGCAGCCCGATTCGTAACCACTATGCTACCAGAGCTATCTACGTTGTTGTTAAGTACCGAAATGGCCTATATAGGGTTTCCCAAGCCTGTAAATCTTTGCAAGATCACAAAGCCTCATCTTTCTCCTAAAGAACAAGCTGGTGTGCTCAAACTTGTAGTTTGCAGTCTAGTGTTTATCCTGCAGAACCAGAAACCTAATATCCCATAGCTAGACTGGAACCCACATCTTCCCTCTTCCTACTATATGATGGCCATTCAAGTATATTTATGAAAAGCCTCTGCTTCAAGTCACCATGCTGGGTGGTAGCGTAGTTCATCCTCACCTTCTAAAGGCGGTAAATGCAGAAAAGACAACTAGAGCCAGCACAAAACCTGTTGGATGGCAGGGGCACGATCTCAAATCATTTCATCTATTCTCAATACCTAGCAGCTTGCCCTTTTGGCAACTACTATAAACAATTCATGGGACAATTTATTCTTACTCTTACATTAATTCACCAAAACAATGTCAATTATAAAACTACTAACACCAATTTATAAGTCATTTGTTATTAGTTGCCATGGAGTTGATTCCAACTCATGTGTCAGAAGAAATGTACTCTATAACGTTGCTTGGTTGGTTGATTTTTTACAGAGAGTAAAAAATCTCTCTGACTTACGGAATGTTTGCCTCCTGTTTTATTTTAATTTTACTTTTTAATGTGAATTGGTTGGAGGTTTACAGAGCAATTCAGTTTCTATTCCACAATCCATACACATTTTGTTTCATCTCATTGATTGCAATCCCTACAATATAACAGCACTTATCCTACTTCCTCTGCATTTCCTGTTTCCATTCCTCCTTCTTTCCTAACCCTTCTGAATTTGACCCTTGGGTGAACGCTGCCCTTTTGATCTTAAATGGTAGATTATTCTAAAGTATGTATACCTCCCTAGTGTTACTGTTCCCTTTATAGATCTGTCTATTGTTTGGCAGAAAAGTGAGTCATGGGGGTGAGTTCATTTCCAGACCTGAAGGTGACTAAGGGCCACAGCTGCCCCAGCCTCTAGCTGATCAGTAAGCATGATCTTTTTGATAATTTTTAGTTTTCAAGGCTGTGACCTTTCAGAAACAAATGTCCATACCTGTCTTCTGAGGTACCTCTGGTGGGTTCAAATCACCAACCTTTCTGTCACATGCATTTGTACCATCCAGGTACTCTACTAAGAATCCTGGTGTGGCACTGTAAAATAAGCATTGGACTGCCAACAGAAAGGTAGGCAGTTCAAACCCACCAGCTGCTCTCAGAAATGCTATACAGGGTCACTATGAGTCAGAACCAACACGACGGCACACAACAACAATAACAACAACAATGCTTTCTTTACAAAGGAGTCCTGGTGGTACTGAGGTTAAGCGCTTAGCTACTAAGAAGTCAACGGTTCAAACCCACTAACCACTTTATAGGAGAAAGAGGTGGCAGTCTGCTTCTGTAAAGATTTACAGCCTTGGAAACCCTATGAGGCAGTTTTACCCCGTAAACATACAGATCTGTGTTGGAAGAAGTGCAGCCAGAGTGCTCCCTGGAGGCCAGGATGGCCAAATTTCGTCTCTCATACTTTGGACATATTGTCAGGAGAGACCAGTCGCTGGAGAAGGGTATCATGTTTGGTAAGGCGGAGGGTCAGAGTAAAGAGGAAGACCCCAGCGAGATGGATTGGCAAAGTGGCAGCATCAATGAGCTCAAGGGTGGCAACAATTGTGAGGTTGACCCAGGACCAGGCAGTGTTTCGTTGTGTTGTGCATAAGGTCGCTGTGAGTCGGTACCGACTCGTAGGCACCTAACAACAACAACAATAGGGTCGCTACTAGTTGGAATCACCTCAAAGGCAGTGGGTTGTGGTGCAAATATTAAACCCAGGGTATACAGAGGTGAGGAGACATTCTCCAGCTGAGGCCTTCAGACTAGGAGACTGTGGAAGCCACATAGTATGTCAGTGTTTCTCATGTTACAAGGCCTGTGAAAGATGTCTGCATAAGACACAGTGGAGGGCTCCCAGGAGGACGAGTCACCTCTCCCTGGGGGAGAGAGGGAAGGCTTCATTGAGGAAGTGACATTGGAGTTAAATCTTAAAAGCAAGAGGAGGCATTTACCAGCTAGCTGGAGCTGGAGGGGTGTGAGAGAGAAAGGACAAGCAGGGGAGGGATTGTATGAGCAAAAATCAGGCAGACATGGAAAAGCCTGGTGGATGAGGGAACACCGAGGAAAACTCTGCAGGGCTTTGTGGCTGTGTCACATGCTCAAGAACCCGGCTCTTCCAAGAGGAAGACAGAAAGGCCCGAGAGACTGCCAGGCTGTGTTGTAACACACCACAGCAAACAACAGGCCCTGTCCATACAGCTGCAGCAGTTGTGTTTTGTTTTTTTTTTCCCCTACGCTGGAGTCTGTGGGGAACAGTCAGTTCCACAGTTCCTAAGGCAGCCCCACTGGCCCCACCCACTCCCTCAGAAAAGCACTCCCAGTCTGCTCACTGCACTTGTCCTCCTTGGCATTTACAAAGTCGTGTGCTTGCATTTTTCCTAAACATTGCTGCCCTTCAGTGTCCTAAGATGACGTGGGCTAAGCTGCAGACACCTGGGTGTGGGATGCACCAAGTAGTTCTTTGCAGGATCTGGTTTCCTTCATGGACATGTGAGACCTGTGTAGTTTCACAGGGACCCACACTTAGAGAGACCCCACAGTTTGTTCAATGCTCTGTAGCCACCATCTTGAAATTCTTAATTCTTCAAGAACCCTCATATTTTCATTTTGTACTGGGCCCCACAAATTATGTAGCCAGCCCTGCCTGGGCATCCCCTGGGCAGGTTTGTGGCCAGTGCACTATTACTCACACCACATCTCATTTTCAAAGCACTTGGCATTTACTAGGTTTGATCACATGCATTGTACCATTTGATACTCACAAAAGGCCAGTATCACGTTGTTTTGTTTGCTGCGTGCCATCGAGCCTGTTCCGACTCATAGTTACCATGTATAAGCTTTCCTGGAATGACTGATGGATTTGAACTGCAGACCTTGGGGTCAGCAGTCCAGTGCTTATCCTAATGTGCCACACCAAGACTCCTTTCAATGGATACAGGAAAATAAACTTAAAAGCAAAAGAAACTTAACAGCTTAAAAAGATTATATCCTTACAATTCTGGTGTTAGTAAGCATTGTCTAGTCGGTTCTGACTCACAGCAACCCTGTACAGGGTTTCTGAAGCTGTAAATCTTTGTGGGAACAGAAAGCTTCTTTCTCCCACATAGCAGATGGCAGGCTGGAACCACAGACCTTGTGATTCGTAGTCCAGTGCTTATCCTACGAAATCACCATGTTCCCTCCCATTAAAAACAAACAAACCAGTTGCTATTGAATCAATTCTCATGCATGGCAACCCTAAGTATTGCAGAACTGAACTGCACCCAATAGGGTTTCAGAAGTAAATCACCTGACTTTCCCCTTACTGCCAAGGAGGCTCTGGATGGAATGGAACCTCAAACTTGAATTAGCAGCCAAACATATTATCCGTTTGCACCTTCCCGAGACTCTCATTGGCTGGCTAAGAAAA